CAGAAGGGGGATGGGGCACCTTGTTACAGCCTGGCAGGGAAGGAAGTCTAGACATCCCACTTAGCCTTTGGTAGTGGGAGTGGAAGTAGTAGTAGAGCAATAGTTTTTCCATGGTGATTGTCTGGAATAGAGCAATTATTGTCTAAAAGTCTTACTAAGCAGCCCCTTTCCTAGTCCTTTAGCTAAAAAGAGTTGGCTTTTGTTAGGTTTTTTGTTTGTTTGTTTGTTTGTTTGTTTTGGTCTCTACCTGTTGGCTCTTCCAACTGCCTGTTTCTCTAACATCCAGTCTAGGATATATGAGGCAAAAAGAAAACCCAGAGAAATCATCACCATGTAGTTCTTTGGGTCCCAGGGTCACTAGCCAGTCTTCCTTCTTCTTTCTGCTTTTCAGTCCTCTTCAGTTTGTTTTCTAGATAGTGCCCAGAGTTTGTAATTGTACTTAGCAGAAGGGATAGGCAAAAGTACCTCTATTTCTCCAGTAGGAGAAGTCCAACATGCTGTAATGTGATATCATTAAAGACACTAGGTAATATTCTGTCACTCTGTTTAGATAAAGTACAAGTAGGAATCCTTTGGGGTTAAACCAGTTCAACCCAAAGTTCCCTCAATGAGCAAATACCCAAGTATTGATGCTTCTGTGCTCCCAGTGAGGACAGTTTTTCCATATATCATCAAAGAGGATATTACTTGGGCTTCTTTAAAAAAAAAATAAGTACCAACCTTTCAACATCTACTCAGTTTGAACAATCTCCAGATTTTCTCAATCATATTTTAGCTACGAAATAGAAATTCCTACATTCTTCTAATGGCAAGTCAACCTAAAAATCCTTCCTGGCAAGTATAAGATAAAGTTGGGAAGCTATCTTAATTACAAAATGCAAAAGCACTTGACCTAATAAACAGTGACAGGTTTACAAAGTATATGGCATCTCTTATAACAATGACTTGCAAATTAGAAACAACTTAATTGTTTTTCACAAAATGGCAATGAATTTGGGCAATCCAGCCATACAATATTCTCTGGTCTTCCTTGTGAACCCCATACACAAACCCACACACAGGATGACTCTCTGGCTACACACAAACCAGAAGAGTTAACTGGCAATGAGGAGATCACATCTTGGTATTAATATGCTCGTGTTCAAGTAAGTATTCCCCCTAGCTTTTTTTTTTTTTTTTTCCTGACTCACAGGAAGTTGTAAAAATAGTACAAAGAATCCCATGAACCTTTCACTCAGCTTCCCCCAATGGTGATATCTTTTTTTTTCCTTTGGTGGCTGGCCAGTTCAGGGATCTGAACCCTTGATGTTGGTGTTATAACACTGCACTCTAACCAACTGAGCTAACCAGCCAGCCCAACATTTTATATAGCTATAATACAATATCGAAACCAGGAAACTGACACTGGTACATTACTGATTACTAGTCTATGGGCTCCTTTATCCATTTTATAAATAAGTTATATAATAGTGAACTTTCTTAGAAAGTCTCCCAGCATTTGGGCATGCTACTACCAGTCAAATTACCAATCCACACTTCTAACTCAATTGCAAATTACCTATATGTAAACAATCCTTATACACATACAAACATACATACACACCATATAGTCATCCCACACATACAAAGCACAAGCGATTGCACCCACATATGCAAAAACTTGTATGATAATAACAGTAATCCAGCCTCTTCATCCCACCATAGTTTTTCTAATTTCTTTTACCTGCTATTGCTACATGAAGACTATGTGTAAATAAATCTGGAGGCTTAAAGAAATCTTTAGAAGTTATCTAATGTAAAAACCCATCCAAAGCTTGAATTCCCTCTACAACATCCCCACAAACGATTGATTCTTCAGACTTTACTTGAATAACTCTGATGACAAGAAACTCATAAGACCTAAAGGAATCCAGTCTGCCTTTGGTCAATATACTAAATCCTGAAAGGTATTTCTAATCATGAGCGGAAATTTCTCTGAAACTTGCACTCATTTGGTTCTAATTTATCCTGTGGGGATATTAACAAGCAAGTCTCACTCCTACTACCTTTCTCCCAAGGAATCCAGACATTCTGGTTTGCCTGAGATAATCCTAGTTTGTACATATTGTTCTGGCATAATAAATATCTCCTTTCATACTCAAGATTTGAACAAAACATTATATAGTTCCTCTATGTGGAACAGTCCTCAAATATTTGAATAACCACACGTGTTTTTATCAGGCTAAACATCCTCTTGTTTTCCAGCTGTTCTTCATATGACATGATTTTGAGGGCCTTCACTAACCTGATCATTCACGTGTCTGAATACACACTAGCTTATTTATATTCCAAGAGCCCTAAAACATAAATTCTTTATTGCATATCTATGTTAATGAGGATTTTATAATCCCAACTAAAGAACAGAAAGTAATTTACTTTGCTTTGAATACTAGACCAACATATAGCTAACACCTTGTACAATGGTACTAGGTAGCAGTCCCACATCATACCAGTAGGTGTCACTCTCTATATATTTTAAATTAAGTTTCAATTCATCAATTCAACAAATATTTATTGAGCATTCACTATGTGCCAGGCATGATTCTAGGTACTGAGAATATAGTGGTGAAAAAGAAAGATACGATTTTGTTCTTGTGGAGCTTACAATCTAGATATTAATGAACAAATCTGCTTTATTTATTTTCTGTATAAAAGTTTAGAAAATCCTATTCCTAATACAGTTCAATTCAGAACTGTATTTCAGAACACTCAAAATAATTCATGAAGAACAAATAATATATGAAACAGAATCAGAGAAACTGTGTTTTGTAGAAGCTCTATTCATGTATCCTGTGTATTTTCCAGCCTTTTGAATTTATTCAATACTTCTTGTCCAAACAACAAAAAAAAAAAAGTAGGTATTCTTCAGTATAACAGAAAGGAATTTATCTTTAAAAAACAACTCAAGTTTTTAAAAATCTACCTACTCATGTTTTTACAAGTAGAGACTATGATATAAATATTAAAAGATTATTTGCAAAGCTTATTAATTCTCAAAATACATATTTCCTTAACTCTACTTAGAAAAATTAAATGTCACCTTTTAAACACCAAACACACTTCCCAGGTTAACAAAGTAAAAACAGTAATGAATTATGCTTCAGTACAGAACTTAGGAATTCCTCCACTACCAAAAGTCCTTGTTTGGACAAATCTGAGGAATTTAAGGTGACTTAGTCATGTTTACAGCACAGCAATGAAAGGTCATACATTGTCAAAAGAAACAGATCTAAGAGAAGGAGCAGACACTGTACATCAAGAAGGTATACGTGCCTGCACAGAAATCCAAGAAGCAGGAACCACTCAATTACTATTTTGTTTCCATCTACTCTCAAACAGAATGTTCTCCAAACTGAAAAAGCTATAGAAAAAATGGTTAAGGACGTATTTCAGGCTCCTTAAAAAACAAACAAAAAAATCCTACTATTTAGAATTTTTTAAGTTCAAAATTTGGTTATATGAATCTGAGAAAAATGATGCTTGTAAGAATTTAGTAAGACACTGACAGCTTCACAAAATATCCAACTTAATGTTTCCTATAAATGCCTCAAACTATTAATTACTGTCTAAATTACTTGAGATATACTACAGCTTGTTCAATTTTAGCATGGAATCACATACACAGAACACAAGAAGTACTCAATGAACAATTAAGTTACAAATTATCACTAAGGTGCTTCATAACAAGCACATCACTAAGGTGCTTCATAAAAGATGGTTAATGATGAAAAAGATCTAAATTAAATTATACTTAATATTAAATAAGGCATTTTCTTTTACTTTTGAATGGTAAAGTGATTGTTCAGCAAATATATTTAAAACATGTTTTATTGTCTATTGTTTTTAAATTATACTTATAAGCTATCTGACAAGCCCAGTATGTTAATATTTGGCATATCTGACATGTCACCAAATTTACATGTACTCAGTGGCAGATATTGTTGTTAGCTTAGTATTTTTATTCCAAAAGTAAAAGAGTGTATGTGTGTGTGTAGGGAGTGAAGGGCTTAGTGTATTGAAAAAAGCCCAGCTTCTGGAGTCAAAAAAATTAAGGTTTGAATCTCAGTGCTACCCCAAATTAGCTATGTGACTTCTCAGCAAATTACTTAACCTGTCCTAAATATCATTTTCCCTCCAAGATGCAAAAAATAAGATTGTGAGAAGGATTAAGTAAATTGTTTTATATA